AATGGGTCAGACTCAACTTCACAACTAACAACAACAACAAGTTTCTTCTTCCCCCACTGCTTCAAAAAGTTTTTTCCACTCCATTTTTTCCTGTCCTTTTTTGGCCATTCTTTGTTAAGCTATCCCTATATTCCACATTGCAAATATAGAACAATGGCTGCTAGCTACCATTAAAGCTTTTCATCTGTAAAATATAAGTATCATGATAGTGACCTTTTTCTAAATTACATGGAAACAACCATGCTTGTGCTCATCCGTGTGGCAGGAGCGCTGTTCTCCTCAAATGCTGTATTTGAGGACAGGAGGGAGCAAATACGCTGCCTCTGTTCTCTCTCTCTTTTCCCTTGGCCACTGTCACTATTTCTTTTTATATCCTTTTATTCATTAGCTGAAGAGCTTTATCTTTGTTTTGATTAAAATGAGGACATTGTTTTTTCCTAATTCATGGAAATTGTTCTTTGAAGAAACTGTTCTGATAAACGCTAATAGTTCAATTCTTTATCACTTAGAATAATTCATGTCATTGCCAACAAAAGTCTCTCTCTCTCTCTCTCTCTCTCTCTCTCTCCTTAATATGTGGCATGCCCAAACGAGGGACTGGAAAGTCTTTTTCATTATTTTTCAGTTGATGATTAAACATCAACCAGTTTAATTTATTTATAGAGGAATATTTATCTCTATTTCCCTAGAGACTAATTTTGCCTCATCCAAGCCAACCCTTTACTGAAAGCTACAACCTCATTTCCTGAGTTCACTTTCAAAGTAGAAGAAAGGAATCAAGCTGATCCGGTGTAACCCTCTGCTGACAAAACACCATCCTTCTCTTTTTACCATCACAATGTTTTTTCTTTTAGGTTCACAAATACCAAGCACTTTCTCTAGAATATATATTTTCATAATATTTTGTCACATAGGTTACTAACTAACATCAAAGCATGTGGGATCACTCTTCTACGGTTTACCTTTTGTACAAAGTGTACTTTTCTAATTAATTTATTTAAGATTGTTTTTCATTGTTCTCTCGTAAAGTACTCTGGGCTCTCCAGGAGGAAAACCAATGTAGAAACAACATAAATAAAAAATGTGCAGAATGATAACATAATAGATAGATGCAAAAGCTGCCTCCTCACATTTCTTCCAATGTACAGATGTTTGTATCAGTCTTAGTCATCTCCCAGTTTCCATGATTGCAGGACTTTTACAAGCTGTGGGCCAGACTCTTGGTAAATGGTTACTTCCTGAATTTACCTGCATGCGATTCTCCTCATTTCCCCAAAACTCTGCTTGGCCACACATTTCAGGAAACCCACAGTATGAAGCAAAGTTTTGGGGAAATGAGCAGAATCACATGGAGGTAAATTCAGGGAGGTAACCATATACCAAGAGTCTGGCCCACAGCTTGTAAAAGTCCTGCAATCATGGGCATTGGGAAATGACTAAGATTGATACAAACATCTGTACAAAACTAACTTTTTAAAGTAAGCCAGACCCTGTAACTTACAAAACTTTAATAATTTGACCACTTAAAAAAAAACCTACGTTCTAGTTTAATTCTCTCCTTTGCTTTTCTATTTTCTCTTGAAGAGTCTATTAACTTCTTGAATGAATGGACCACGGCTTAGGGTTAACTGGGCTTGTAGACAAAGCCTTGACACTGGGTTATGTTTCTTTTTTCATATAAGTTTTTTATGTGGCTAACACTACACTATAATCACATAAGTTCATTTTTTGCCTCTAGTGGTAATATAAACTGCAACTAACAAATATGGACTTCCATGCAAAACAGTTTATTGCTTTGAACACTGGTCTTTTCAAGGCCTCCTTAATGCTGGAATATTTGGTCAAATGTACGGCGAAAATGATATTATAGTGATTGTTCTGTATCCTACAGGTTCGGTCCATCAGCATCAATGTACGGCGAAATCTGGCATTCAACACTCTTAGCCAGGAAGCCCTGCTAAAAGAGTTTTCAACCATCTCCTGAAGCTGTCTTCTTGCTTCATAACTAGTCCTGGTATTACCGTATCACCTCCTGCAGAATAGCTCCCGGATGTGGAACAGTCTAACTCTACTGTGTGGTTTTGTTTGTGTTTTGTTTTGTTTTTAAAGAGAAGATCAAAGGAAGGCCTGGACTTGCCTCATACTCTTGAGCATAGAGAATTAACAATATAGGCTGCATTGGGAGCGGGAAAGAAGGGGCAGGGGTTATTTCTCTTTTTTAATTTCTTTGTGACAACTGTTGTGTAGGGATAAGAATTGTTTACTGAGTGAGCAAGAATAGAGCAGAAGAGTGTTGCTTAGAGAGTTCATACTTAATGGTTCTCTGAAGACTGCTGAAGACTGAAGACTGAAGTGAGAAAGGGGCACAGGAACCAAGATCTTGATAATATGGAACAGTGGCTGAACACTTATTTTATGTAAATTTATACTTGGATGCTTTGAATCTGCGGCTCATGTATATTGTTAGGTCCATTTTAGTTGGTGCTGAAATTAACACTTTGGCTCTGTCTTCATTCTGCACAAGGCCTCCTATTCTAACGGTCTTGCCGGAACTCCACCTCAGGATGGTCTTGGTGCCCAACCTAAAGCTCTTGCTCTCTGGGGTTTCTTAGTTGAGAGATTACCTCTATGAGTTTATTCTTACTATTCCATTGTGCCATGCTTTAAAACCTTGGAATGAAGATATTAAGATGTATCAGTGATTTTTCTCCCCAAAGGAGCAATAAGGGAAAACATCCTATGGTTTTACTTCCACCATTCTCGTGCATCAAAAGAAGCCAGTTCCTCCTGTACCCAGAAGGTTGACTGAGCTCCTGCCCTAGAGTCCGTCACTTTTTCCTGGCCTGTCAGCCTTGGATTCTCTGCATACAAGTAGGGTAATTGAGGGCTCTCATCAGGCTTGTCACTGTCCTTTCTATCAAAAATAACCTCTGTGAATTCCACAGTGATTGCAACTGTTTAAGTCAGTTCACATTTTATGTATTCCAATAAAGTACTTCATTGGAAATTCAGAATTAAAACTATAATTTGTCTACTTTTATCACTTTTGACTTATTTTAAAGAAATATTTATTTGGGAGGTGGAAATGTATTTATAAATTCTATACTCCTGTCCATCAAATGAAATAACTCAAGCAAACTAGAGCTGCATAATTATTCTGTCAATTTTTTCTCATTATTTTGCAGAAATTATTTTTGAGCCGTTTTTAATGAAAATGATAACTGAGGCACTTAATTTTTTGCATTATATATAAAGAATGGACACACAACTTTGGGCTTTGTTGGAAAATTAAAAGTTGGCTATGATTCTGGCATTGTGCATTATCTATAGATCTATTCTTTGATCTGTAACGTGTGGTCAAGTTAATATTTGAGCCTCCATTTCTTTGGGGGATGAGGAGCAGTACAGTATTTCCCCAAATTCATATTATTTTCTTTCTCCCCAGGCCACTGCCATTGGAAACAAATATGATTGGATTAACATATATAAATGCATTTTAATTTGGCCATTCATACCAACAGAATGATAATCAGAGAGATTTCAATTCAGAGACGAGTGTTATTTGGGGTAAATTTTTACTCTTTAGAACAGATTGGAGAAAACCCTGTGCCCTTCACCACTGATGAACTCATCTATTCCTAGTATTGAATTATGAGTTCAGAGATGCAAAAGGACATATTCTTCTAGAAGAAAGACTACAGAAGTTGTTTCATTGAACAGCACCTTCAAAAGGCTATTGTTAATATTCGGTAAAGGGTTGGAAGGGATTACAATATCCATGGCTTTTGTGCATGCAATGTATTTTTTGTGAATCATTTGGGCAGTAATATTACTTACTGCTACTAGTTATATTTCCTTGGTACATAGCTAGTATATCTGGTATATCATAACTGATATAAATACACAGACTGCATAATCTTTATTTTAGGACCTTTAACATCTAACAAAAGCCTAACTTGAACATTTATTTTGGAGAAAAAATAGGAGTTGAAAATGTGTCAATTCCAAACTTTTAGGATTTTTCATTCTAAACATCTGCTTCTACCTCTATCTTTAAACCCACCCATCCCCCAAACCTTGAAAAATACCCCACCCTTGCCATTTCTTGACTAATGTGAGATTGCTTTTAAGGTTTGAAGAAAAAATGGTTTGCTTCTAGAGGTTTCCTGCTTCCTTCCTCCTCCTCACCACAAAGACTAAAATCACCCTGAAAAGTGGGAAATTCAGGCCTCCTTTAAACAACTTCCATTCCCATTTATTTTAATTTGTAAATCAAAATAAAACATGCTGCCAAAACATTGGATTTTTTTGTTGCCGAAATTTTGCTGACGAACAGTAATAGGGTGATGGCATTTGAATCAGCATTTGTTTCACAAGCTGAGAGTTGCCTATTTCAGCTACACCTTTTCATTGCCTTATCACGTGCATTGACTCCTTCTGATAGAGTTTCAGACTCTTGGGGGGGGGAGGTGTTGTATATTGAGTGGTAATGAGAGATTAAGATGGGATGTGGTTTAGAATTTCCACAAATCTATTTGAACATCTGAATAAGTCTTAAAATTATTAATTTATAGCTGTCCTCACGATTGCTTTTAGGTTTCTCTGTAGAGCTACAGTACTAAGTAAATGGAATGATAGTTGCCAGGGCACAAATATATTAACTATAACGACTAAACCTGCCTTGTGATAGGTTGGTTAAAGAAAAGACTTAGGCTATTTAATTTATCTATCTCCTCCCCACCCAACATGTCTGTATTTTAGTATAAGATTTTTTTATTTATTTCAAGTGAAAAATCCGCATTGACATGCATTCACCCAAATGCACATACGTACACATCAGCTTCTCCACCTATAGTTCTGCTACTGCAACCTAATCATCCTGTTTGTTTGTTTAATATAACCACCCATTTAACATACACTATATTGTCAAAAGTATTCACTCACCCATCCAAATAATCAGAATCAGGTGTTCCAATCACTTCCATGGCCACAGGTGTATAAAATCAAGTACCTAGGCATGCAGACTGTGTTTACAAACATTTGTGAAAGAATGGGTCGCTCTCAGGAGCTCAGTGAATTCTAGCGTGGAACCTGGGATAGGATGCCACCTGTGCAACAAATCCAGTCGTGAAATTTCCTCGCTCCTAAATATTCCACAGTCAACTGTCAGCTGTATTATAAGAACGTGGAAGTGTTTGGGAATGACAGCAACCACGAAGTGGTAGGCCACATAAACTCATCCAACCTCAGTGTGTAACCTCGCAAATGCGCTTCTGGAAGAATGGTCAAAAATTGCCATAAACACACTCCTGAACCTTGTGGACAGCCTTCCCAGAAGAGTTGAAGCTGTTATAGCTGCAAAGGGCGGACCGACATCATATTGAACCCTATGGATTAGGAATTTGATGTCACTTACAGTAAGTTCATATGCGAGTAAAGGCAGGTGAGCAAATGCTTTTGGTAATATAGTGTATATGACTTTGAGTGAGTTACAAAATTAAAAGCAGTGAAATAATACCAAAAATAACCAGGATCATAACAAGGACCAAAAAAATAAAAACTATTAAAGCCAAACAACCATAATCTGCAAGAGAGCACAATCAATTGTTCTAACACTTTGCAGGCTCCACAGCTCCACTACAGATCCTCAGGATGGCAGAAGGCCAAGAAAACTACTCTGATCTCAGGAATGACGTTCCAGAGGGTGGTTGCCATAGCACAGTGGTTCCCAAACTTGGCAACTTTAAGACTTGTGGACTTCAATTCCCAGAATTCTCCAGCTAGCTCTTCTGGCTGGAGAACTCTGGGAGTTGAAGTCCACAAGTCTTAAAGTTGCCAAGTTTGGGAAACACTGCCATAGCAGAATAGATTCTTGCCCTGGGTCCCCTCAGATGAGATTCTTTCATGAATAGGACCCACAATGGCCTTTCTATTGAACCTAATGGGGTGGGTAGGTGTGATTAGTGGCCCTTTTTTTGCTTGAGAAGCTTCCACTTTTTTTTAATAGACGTATTCAAACTTGCCTTTAGTTGAATTATGGGTAAAAGGTTGGGAGTTTGAAACCTTATAGCCTAAAAAAAATTACTCATGGGTTTTCTCTAACTCAGTGCTAAGGAGATCCCTGAAATAGCCTCATATTCTCAACAAAATCTAAATTGCCAGTATGCAGTAATGGAGGTATAATTATCACTGATCATAAAGACAAAGCTTTTAAACTGCTAATGTTTGATTATTCACCCATAGTTCTAGAAATTTCTAGAGCAAAGTTTGAGGTTTTGGAGTATTCTAGTAAACTACAAAAGTATTAATTGGAGTCCAAACTATAGTGGTGACCCAAAGGGGGGGGGGGAAATCCACACTGCTTGCAAGTTTTCTATAGTTGGCATGATGATGTGCAAATCTGTGTAACTGCTTTTTCTAGATTTTTTAAAACTTTTTTGCTGGCTATAAAATCCATTAGGTAAGGCAGTTTTTGAGGCCAAATAAGTCTTAGCATAGTCATTAATCTACAAGCCAGGTTTCATTCCAGTTTTATGTAGCATTACCAGGATTCATGCCTTCCTAGATATATTTATCAGGAGATTATTTTTTTTCCAGTCAATGGGTGACTTGCAATCCTGTAACCTGTCAGTATATTGAAGGATATTCCAAGCGTAGCTAAAGTTTTAAGGATTTTGGAGCCGGAATCCAATAGGTTTCATCACTCTCCTAGTCTAAAACAGTTGTTTTGATCATCCAGTTGCAGCATCCATGTAACTGCATGGAGTGAGGATGCTTGAGCCAAATTGATTAGCATATTTTCAGGATCTGCATTCTTTTCTCTTTCCTCTTTCTTTCAGTATGATGGGTTCCTTTCACATTGTAAGCCTCCGGGCAAGGAAGTGACAAGGAATGTAAAATGCTGTCTTGTCTTCAACTGTGTAGAATGTGAACGTGGCCAAATTTCCCTGCAAAACTGGGCAGATTTTCCACTTTATAAGTACTGAGGAAATAAGCTCTCTCTATTAACCATAAGACATTAGGCCTATTCTCATTATAAGCTTGGATGTGCTTTTCTTGGCTGCCTTTATGATAGCGATTAGCATTTCGCTCATAGCCTTCTGCATATTTATCTGTTCAATAACTTAACTTTTCCCCAAGGGTAGAATTTAAACACTGTTTGTTCTGATGGAAACTTGCCTACCACAATACCATTCTTGCAATACCCACTACACATCCCAAAACGTATTACAAAACACAAATTTGGAACATGATTCACACTAGAGAGGAGAGCAAGTTTCACAGTGAAGAATAGGAATGAAGAAGGGCCAGCTTGATGTCATGGTAAAATTGCTGGCCTAGATACTCTACTCCCGCATTGAGTTTGAAAGCCAGATGGGTGATTTTGGACCAGTCACTGTCTCTCATCCCAACTCACCACACAGGGTTGTTGTTGCAGGGAAAATAGGAGGGAAGAGAATTTGGTGTGTGTGACAATAATGTAATACAGGTTGGATAAACATCAAATAAGTATTCATCCTCTTTACAGAGGAGTCTTTACAGTGCAGTAGCTCTTCTATGAATACTGGATCTGGTAGCAAAATATGCCAGCTAGCCCAAAACATTATTTACTATCCACACTGTAAGGCAATGTTTTCCAAAGATTTTCCCCCATTACCCAAAACTGCCTTTTACCCAATGTAGGTCAAACCTTTTAGCCGACTTAAATGTCCCTGTTGTGATTGGGTTTGTATGTTGTTACTCAAAGAAAAACCACTTTTACCCAGGTTTGGATAATTTACCCAGGTTTGGGTAAGAAGAAAGGCATCATCTCTGATTTTGCAGATGTTCTGCTTATTTACTAGATTCATTATAAGATGGATGGTTGTAGCTATGTTTTATTCTATTTGCTTAGGTCCGTTATTTCAAATGGCCCTTTGCCCATGCATAAAGGTGGCACATATAGGCTTGATACTCATTTTAAGAAAATCTCAACATTTGCAGATGAATGCCACATTAACATTTGGGGTGTGACAAAGGGGTGTGCTATTTTTAATTTAT